GGGGGGGGAGAGAATCCCTCACCATTTTAACCCTGACTGACACTGGAAACTGGCAGTCGACTCGTATCATTTTATTTAAAGGCTCCAGATATTCTGAAGTGGGAGAAAAATTGTCTTTATGTATACCATACACCCAATTTAAACCACTAGAGCTTGCAGCAAAAATTTAGCACTCAGAGAAAAAGAGATTGGTGTTTACAAGTCTAGCCTCTTCTCTCTTCCCATTACAAGATTTAACTCCAAAGTACCCACATAATGCCCAAAGACAAGCAAAGTTAAATTTTACCGTTACCCATCACGCAGCGATGACTTCCACAATTGGCAAAACAGATGCTGCCTCCATCTTTCTTCCCATACCATTACACTCAAGTGATTTAAATCAAATCATCTCTATTCATAAAAATGGAACAATCTTTTAATAATCCCAAACCAATTTTCCCCGTTCACAGTAGAATGTTAATCTACCCTCCCCTAAAAATGTCAGCCATTGTTGAACTGTCACCACCCCACAAAAAAAAAAAAAGAAAAAAATTTTTAGGGGTGAAAATTACAGTAGGTTTGAAACCAACAGGGAAGACATTGACAAGACACCAGTGCAAACACCATCCAAATTTTTTTCTCTAAATCTAAATATGCTGACAACAGATTAATGGTGCACAATAACAAAGCAAACATAGATCAATATCTATAAAGTTGTGACTGTTGTCTTTTTTTTTTGATGGTGTAGAATAAACGATGGAATGGGGGATCAGGATAATAAATACTGCCCTTAACATGAGTCAGATCATTCAGCTGTAATGCTTGTAACTGGCGGTGGGAGATATACAGATAGTTATGTAATTGGTATATGATGTACACCACATGGATCTCTCTCTCCCCTCGACAGAACACTTTAAAGTGAATTGAACGATTGCATTAAGTGTGACTTCTTTATATGACAAGAAAGAAATTAATGAATATGCGCGATATAATGAGCAAGTAATATTGGAACACTTTTTCACCCTCTACAGTGAAAAGATTTCTCAGACTGACAATCAACCCACGCTTTCATCCCTTTGTTCGTGGCGCTACCGACATTATAACAAAAAAGCGCTACTTCCATTTCACCCATAGCCACAGATAAACACAATCATGTAAACCACCAGAAACATGGTGCATAAAAACTTTTTGCACCGAAAAACTTGTTCAAAACAACACATGTCAGTGGACATAATAAACAAATACAAAATTACCTGTCACGACCAAACAATTTTAAGTACATTTTCATGTATGTCGAGCTCAGATCAAAAGATCTACCAAGGCAATGTCACTTCCCAAACTCAGTTGAAGTTCACAAAATCCACGATAAATTAATCGGTGGGGAAAAAAAAAACTTAAGCCAATGACAAACATTATGCAACGGAGGAAAAAAAAATTGTTTTTCAAACATGGGTTACAGCTACTTTGTCCAACATAAACATGGATGAATAGGTCTTATATCCCCAATGACACCACAAAGCTACTTTTCTCCATTACAAGCCACATCAACTACATGCACATGACTATGCGAGTACCAATCACTTTACACTGGAAATTGAGGCCACTGCGGATTAAAATAGACAAAGACGAGAGTCAGCAACAGAAGGAGCCAGTTCCCACACAACAAGGAAACTATCGAGGTACTGGAGAATATTTGCCTACTGAAAATAAACATTTATACTGGTACTAGAAAGGCTGTAAAACTGAAAGGACTTATTTCTTGTGGAGAGTGAATTACATCTTGAACACAAGTCTTTCAAGTAGAAAAAAGACAGCATATTTTCTCTGTGAACCTAAGGAACATTCTGAATCTGACAGCACAAGCAAAAACTCTACAACAATTATGCAAAACATAAAAGATGATGGAAAAAAAAAATTCAACTTGGTCAAAAGTGTTGAGCTGTTAATACGATGATTTTATTTCTCTGTAGAGAAAACCACTTCACTTCTCTGCACTCTTCACTAGGAACAGTGGGACTAAAACAAAACGTGAATTTCAGAAAACCACTGAACAAGCGACAATCAAATGGATAAGAAACAAACTGGGCAAAGGATCTACAAACTGATCATCAATAACAAACAAAAACACTTCATTAAAAGAAACAAAAAAACTCCACATTACCCCACAGACCACCTGCAAATATTCTCTCAAAGAAATAAAGACTCAGGAGTGGGAACACAAAGACTATTCATCCCCCCCCCCCCCATTATTTTCATAAATGGAAAGTAACACTTAACCATAGCTTTTTACCTCAAATACCTCAAGAGCAGGATATTTCTATAAAAAAAATGTAACCAAAAAAAAACAACAACCCAAAAACCACAACTAAAACAATCTACGGAATTCACCCACTCCCAGAGTGTCCACCACGGCAAACTGAGCTTTTTTTCTCAAGCAAAATGTAACAAGAGAACATTTCCTTGAATGAGAGTGTTTCCTCGGGAAAAATGAGAGAGAGCGAGAGAAATAACTCCTGGCTCCAGCATGAGAGTGACAATGATTACGCAGACCGCTCCAGGAAACAGCGGGGTCACGACACTGAAGAAATCGGGTTCATTGGCGAACCCATCTGTGTGATGACCTTGTCCAGCCACTGCAGGGGCCCATTCAGATGCAACTCAATCCAGCAAGGAGTGGATGTGACATCCTGCCGGTGGTACTCTGCCCCCCAGCCCTTGACAAAGCTCATGCGAATGATGCACATTTTGCTGAGTTCATACACTGCTTCAAAGCCATGGTTCACTGACTGGGACAGAAGAGCGGCAAACTCCTGAAAGAAAGGAGGAATGTGTATCAGAGAGAAGAACACCCAAAACATAATGTTCTAAATGCAAGTATACATTTGACATAAAAGAACACCATGAGCATAATGTTCTCAGTGCAGGTATACATTTGACAAAAGAAAAGAACACCCTCATCCAGATGTCATAAATACAGGTATATATTTTATAAATCGGGTAAACAAAATTTATCACATAATTCTATCTTAAAATTTAAAAGTTGACTATGGTACCATATGCAGTCAAGTGAGGATAGCTTACATGACACCCACTTTATTTTTTGACTCACCTTTGCAGTGACTGTAGTTACCAAAAATGTATATTGCACTGATGTATGATGATGATTTTTACAATTCGGGAAATTTTGATCAACCAATGCTTTCTGCTGAATTTTTCGTTTCACCCTTGGGCTTAAAGTTACCATAGTTTCAATACGATGCTTTTCACAACATTTTCCTCCCCTTCGAGTTGAACCTGAATCTAGACATTATTGATCTCATTCATGATGGTGATCTATGTGTATATATCAACATAACAATGATGGGGGGAGGTGGGGAGGCACCATGCGCTAATGCCTGGTTGGAAGGAGGAATCTGACATCGGTGTTGTATCACATCTTGATGTCAGAAGTAGGACAAATAAACCAGAGCTGGAACTGATCAGTAGACCAACCAGACAATGAGGACAGGCCTAGACTGACCATTATTTGAAATAAAACTTTTAGAATCTATCTTTTGAAATTTATTTAACATTTTTATCATATCTGATTCCTTTTGTTAACAATTTTTTACCAAAAAACCCCAAACCATGTATGATTTCATATATGGCGGTTACGTCTCCTCTTATGCTGTGAGAGTATTCATAACAGGGCCGTAGATGGCGTTGAGCTTAAACAGGCTATAAGCCTACCTGATTGTTGAAGATCTTGAGACTGCAGTTCGGTGGTATCTTGCACACTGTAGTGTGGTGGAAGCCATGTGAGTAGTTACAGTTCCTGCTCTGAACGAAGATGCTGCTGTCGCTCAAACATTCTGCATAGACTTCTCCACCCACATAGTACAGATGGACACCTGCAGGGGCAATCCAACAATCTTAATAACAAGAGGTTGCATTTAAAACTAGCACACTGGCGCTGACTGCACAAACATAGTCACTGTTTACCGCCAAAATACATAAAAACATGAAATCTGCTTATATTATATATGGAGGAATGTTTACATCAACAACATCTGTACTAGAAGAAAAATAGGCTGATGAGTTTTAGTTTAGTTTTAGTAGAGGTTTTATGGCGCTCACAATTGCATAAGGTCATATGAGTGCCAGAAGATTAAAGGTGTTACAAGAGAGTAACAAATATAAAATAGAAGAAGGGGAGATAAGGACGATAGATGTTTGATAGGAAAGAAAAAGTAAACCACACCAGAGCACCCACCAACCACCCACGCTGATGAGTTTGCAATACAGTCGCAATATGATATGGAAAACAGGGAAAGAGAGCAAAAGTGGGTGCCTGATGCTGAATACTCAAATGGCAATCTGCGGACAGGTGAATGCTGTAGAAAAACCAAAAGCAGGTAGAAAGAGACAACAACAGCAGAGTGACCACCAGCCACCTTCATATGAATTACAAACAAGTCAACAAATTTTTTAATGAAAAAGGAGACCAAAACTTTGAGCACTAGCACCACAAATGATAGAAAAACACAAAACATCTCTAAATCAGTAAAAATTATATTTCTCACGTCACTATTTTTACTTATCCAAAAAGTACTGAAATTTGATGATATACAGCAGATGAAATGTGTCAACTCAAAACTATCAAATTGTTTGGAAGAATTTTCGATTAAGCACAACAAACACTTATATACACTCGGCAAAAAGGTTTTTTATACGAGTCTTATGGCACTTGAGGCACAATCAGGTCATATAAGTGCTGAAGATTAGATGTGGTACAAGAGAGTAACAAACACAAAAAAGGAAGGGAGTTAAAGACAATACAATAGATCTTTTATAGGAAAGAAGAAGCAAACCACATTACAGCACCCACCAACCACCCACTGGCAATAAGGGACATTCACACACAAAAAAAAACAAAACAACAACAACCCCCAAAATACAAACAATAAAGAAAGTGGGCTGTGGTTGTTTTCTTTTCCCCACACGTGGCTCACCTCTCCCTATATGCCTGCGTGTGTTCTCGATGGTGGAGTTCCTGTTGACGTTGGAGAGGAGGCCCAAACAGAACCGGTCAGTGCGAGACGGGTCGGTGAAGCCGTCCACTACAATGCTGTTGGAGGAGGCCTGAAACTGCTCCCCGACGCGGTTGTTCAGCTCGTAGTAGACAATGTTGCACCAGTGGTGGGGCTCTTGGTAAGTCACTGGCTGCTTGTCTGTCACACAAGACGTGGCCAGAGAAGTGGAGGGAGCAGGACGGGGTCAGCCGAGGAGGAAACGGGATTGTAAGAAGTCACCAGGAGGGCAGACATAGGGTTTTCCAGTTGGCAGTCCAGGTGAGGATGTGGGGAACGGGGTGAGAGGGTAAGTGTGACAGGAGAGATAGTCTTTATTAGCACAATATCATGGCAAGTTATCCTACATGAAATGCCACATACTGAGAACGCCCAGACCTGCCAACTTTTCACAAACAAACCCCAATGTATTTGTTACACCAACAAAGTAGCCTACAAACATCATAAAACCCGGAACATCAAGCTGATGTAGAAAAAAGGGTGAACGCAAAGGACTCAACACATTCAGGAGATATTACAGCCGAAACTGTCATAAAGACCACCTGTCTGAGACAAACACCTGTGCAAACCTTGTGTTCTTTCTACATTGTTATTATTATAACAATATTGTCCAATACATCCACCTGCCTAAGACTACCATTTATCTCCCCAACAATGGCTGGCCATCTTAGTTATGACTGTAATGTAAAAAAAATAAATAAATAAAAGGAGAAAGAGTTTTACATTGCCATAGACACAATTTAGGTCATCTGCTGCTTCAACCCTGCCCATCAGGGTCCCCTGGGCCATATAAGGGATCCGTCTAAATATAAACACAAGATATTTTATGAATTTTTCATACACGCACGAGAAAAAAAAAAAGAAAGGATGATGCTATGAAGACTGGTGTTAATCTAAAACCATAATTATTTATCTGCATACTATAAATAAAAGAATAGGGAGACAATATAACCACCACCGACATGGTTTTCTGTGGATTTACTCTCTTTTTTAACACAATAAAACATGGGAGACTACAAAAACAAAAATTGTTGGCAGGTCTGAGAACAAGATGGCAATCATTAAATGAGAAAAGAAAAGTCATTGAAACTGTGTTTACCCAGTACTGTTGAACAAATCGACTCGAAACAATCACACGAAGAAAACACCTCAGACTGATATTCTAACAGGCCCCAAAACACCTAGACGAACAAAGCGAATAACTTTCAAAAGAACAAAGTACTAGATCTATGTTAAGCTAACATCAAGTTTTAAGTACATGTATACTGCTATTCTGTTTCCCCACACCATTCTTTAACAAACTTTAGCATAAAGACAACATAAAATTCTCTCTTAAAAAAACAAACTTTTCTGCTCCTCCCCTTCAACACACAAATTATAATTGAGCCTGTAAAGCTACAATTTGCAGAGAGCCAGAAAAATTACAGCCCACCACTGAAAAAAAAACAACCATAAAAAGAAATCACACTAAAAAAAGAACAGCCAACCCATCTACATTGAAATACAGCGTAAACACAGTAACAAAGATAAGCTAGAAGAAGCTAACATATAAACCTGTACCCATCATCCATATTGAAACATTATGGAAACCATAAATGGCATAACAAGTGGTGATCATAAGATTAGAAACAGCTGATATTTACCTGTAATTCTGGGCAGGTGTTTGGAAAGTGGGAAGGAAGGCTGCGCAGGAGGCCCTGAGTGGGCCGGGTTAGGCTGATGGTTTGTGTCCATGGGCTGAGGTCCGTTCTGATTATTCTGGTTATCATCCTGGGCCTGGTATGCAGGTGGAGGGGTGTCGGCTGTGATAGAGACAGAATTCAACTTTTTTAAATCTCACAAACCAAAGATATTCAAGTCATCTACAGCAGTAATGTATATTAATTTAAAAAACCCACTCCTTTTTCATCTTCACACCCACTCTCTCCCCCTTTTTATGAATCTGTTGACCGTCCAACTAGATAGATTTTAGGAATGTTACATAGTGCAGAGAAACTAATTTTAAGCTCTGTATAAATGAAACCTAGTATTGCCATTGGAATTAAGCTTTGTAATGCCATTTGAACTAAGCTTACCAGGAAGACCAAATGGACTGCCGGGCCCGGAACTAGGGGTCTGTGGAGAATGCTGCGAGGGGAACGGGAAGGTGACGTTGTGGGGCAAGGATGGTTCCGGAATCGGCTGGAAGGGAGGAACAGCCCCATGAGCTGGGTACTCGCTGTAGCGTGGGACTAGCACAGGAGGCAGGACTGTCATTGGAAACAGAAAAGAAAAGACAAGTTATAGCTTGACATGGGAAAAACTTTGCTCAAACGTAGAGGAAATTACATGTTATTGTATGACTTTTTGAGTCCTAACAAATTATCTAAAAGCAGCGTGCATGATGCACCTTTCCCCATGACCTGCTGACCATGAAGAGGTAGATTGACCAAGCACTACTTCCCTCCTTTCAGATCTTGACTTTTTTTTTGGGGTTACACCACGAGCTATGTATTTATCAGGCACACACAACCCTAATAGTAAAAGAATGGTTGCTGCCAGAACCAACCCTGGCACAGTGGGATACCACATTTCCAAATTTAGTGAGTTTTTAGTAAGCAACACAATTAGGTCATTTAAGTGTCGAAGATTAGAGGTGTTAAAAGAGTGTAACACACACAAAAATAAATAAAAAATAAAGAGAAGACAAATAAGGACGATAGATGTTTGATAGGAAAGAAAGGAGCAAAGCACACAACAACACCGCTAACGACCCACTCACACTCGTTGAGCAATTGAAAACTGAATCTTTTAGCACAATGATATCAATTAATAAAGTAAGGCACACCTATAATAATTTCGCTCTTACTCGTATGATAATTTGTTGTGCTGGATGGTTAGCACCTTTCATTGACAATAAGTTCATTTTGGCTTGGAGTATGGTTCTGTGTAATAATATACATTCTCAGGATGGACTACCTAAAAGTCTCTTGCAGGCCATATGTTGTTCACTGGGCCGGATAGCATCCGCAAGCCTTGAGTTTCACATATATGATGTACAACAAAGAGCATAAACATTACACTCAAAGAAGTTTGCCTTTCTGGCTTTAAAATTTGCTCAGTCAAAGCAAAGCATATTGTATTGCAATAAGAATGGCTGGTCTTTAGAACACTGAAGATACCGTCAGTCTTTTTAAAAACACACAATGTTTCTTTCACACCTGTGTTAAACAATTCAATATTTAATTTAAGACTTTATAACAAATTATTCTGTTACTGTACTGAGCTGCACAAACATTTTTTTAGGCTACCCTTACCATCACAACATAAAAATACCATTGAACAAGAAGTTCAAACTATTCTAAATATTTTTTTTTTTTTTTTTTTTCAGCAGACATTTATTAGTGTCAGGTAAGAGCTAAAGAGACAGGAATGGCACAGGACAAGGAAAGAAGTAGGACACACCAGTGGTGCACCCCCAATCATATTCCCTCCACCTTCATTAAGGTACATGAAGGACAATAGAAAAATGATAATTTGGTTACTTTCCAATACAAGCAATTTCAAGGCAGCTGTAACACTTGGCAGCAGACCCATCCATTTACCTTTGCCCCAGATAAAGAGTTTGAGAAAAGAGAACCACATCAACATGATAATGGTCATTCAGTGCAACAAAAAAGCAAAACATAAAAACAAAAGAGATAGAAAAGAAGTGGGACCTGCCAGTTGCATCTTCCAACCATCTCCTGATGATAAAGAGAGAGGCTTAGTGTTGCTGTTGTTTATCATACTTACTGATACAAGACAGCGAGATAACACTGATATAATCTTTATTGATGAATAAGACAGAACAGAGTTCAAGCGAAGAGCATTACAACATTAATGGCCACAAAACACTGGGAACATCACAGATTTTTTTCTTTTCTTTGTTAACCCCTCATATGGGAACAAGCAGGTCATTTCAAAGGCAGAGCATGAGCATTAAGTCTCTCCTGAAGATTGTTCATGAACTCTGATGTGGCAGTAGGTCACAGCATGAAATAACTATGCCTGATTTTAACTTTCGAACTTGATAAGAAATGACCTGTCTATAAAGTCAAAATAACAACTTTTATCTTTAAAAAGTAGATTTTCATGGCAGTGTAATATGGTCACAACTTTGTCAGCCACTGTCATGGAAATTATACAGGTATTAAATGAAGGACTGAGACTTTTAAAAGGTGGTGATAAATACTCAGTTTTCAGTCTTCTCAGCAACATAATGTGGTGGCCAATCCCATTTCTCTTCCACTTTTTTTCCTTAACAGTAGATAACATTCCCATCAATGCAATTTAGATCATTTAAAAGGCAGGCTTTAACCTATGCTCAGCAAGAGGGACACACCCCTGCAGAAAAAAACGAGATACCCGAGGAAAATTTCTTCCCCGCTCAGAAACTACACTCAGGTCTCCTGTGTGCAACAGCAAAGAGCCTAACCGCTACACCACAGACGCCACTCTTCATTTTTAAAGGACCCCATCCCCTACAACAATAACATAAAAGACCGCTTAACAAGCCAAGCTCAAGTCTTGTCGCCTACAGCGAGAGTTACTGCACTCATGCTCTCACCACAAAGAAATTCTAATTAAGCAGATTTCTTGCTGGCTCACACTTGAGTCAAGTAGAAAACCCAAAAGTCTCGGCCTGGAGAACTGAGCCCCCCCCCCCCCCCTCCTCCCCCAAACCGCACACACACAAAACCCTGACAGTTCCCAAGAGCTCTTCAAGTGTTGACACATTTGCAAAAGTGAGTTGTCCACATCTGTACAATGTGTCACATTATCTGATACCTACACGCGCAAAACATCTTTTCATCTCTAGCCACCAATTGAGCTATTTATGGTCTATACATATTACGAAAATGGACATTACTGAGCACACAGGAACACTCTTGTTTTATTTTATAATGGTGACCGAGGTGTGCCCCTCAGCAAGACGCTCAGTTAAAAAACAGGAGGCTCTTGTTTTGTGGCGACAATGCAAAAGGGTGTTGAATTTGTAAACGTGGTAAGACTGACACTGAAAGCTATGCAGTATGTTGCAACTTGTGATCTTTTTTTTTTTTATATATGTATCCCGTGCACCACACAATCCAAGAAACTGTTTCAGGGGCTTTCTTTTAAGTTTTGTTGGCTATTCATTGTTATTCAATAACATAATTTAAGAAATCATATAGAAAGATGGAAAGAAAAAAAAAGGAAGGAGATCAACAGAACTATTTTTTTGACTGGCATTTCAATTATTGCCAATTAGGCGTCCTGAAATCAACAGGTGAAAAAAAGAAAGAGAAAACAAGGAACAGACATGAAATCAACAGGCGAAAAAGGATAAATGGAAAAGAACAAGGCCCAGAATTGAAATCAACAGGCTAAAAAGGATAAAAAGAAAAAAACAAGGCTCTGAATAGAGTTGAAATCAACAGGCAATGGTGGAGAAAGAGAAAAAGACAAGGCACCAAGTTCTGTGTCACCATTAATCATACGCGCGTCTGCTTCCCACCATCACACATCCACACCACTGACAAAATTATCAGCAAGTAACAAACAGGTCCCTGCACACCTGTTTCCTGACCTTTCACCCCTCCATCAGCCAGCTGTCCACACAGTACTGTTTACATAGGCAAATATTTTTTAATCCTTGGGCTTCCTGCCCACTAAGCAAAGTCTGGTGTAAAGTCCAAGCACAAAACAAATATCCCAAATGCCAAAACATTCTATTCTATTTAATTTTGTCTTTTTATTTTTTTGCTGAGAGGAGTTGAAGTGCATTTTCAAAGCGTTTGAGAATGTTGATACATACATCATAAAGTAGTAAGCAGATTTCAGTGCAAGGAATTTGATTGGGGGAGGGAGGTGGGAAGAAAAGAACAGATTCAAATTTTGTTCAAAATCCTATTAAAAGAAGAGCTGAATTCTTCCCTTTTCATTTTTACTAAAACTTGCAACCACATTCAAATTCTTTTTTATAAAAAAGCTGCTGTTGTAAAACTATAAAGAGAAGACACTTTCCCTCGCAAATATTCAGTACAAACAGAGGTCTTTAAGTGACAACAGGCAAACAAGAGGAGTACAGTGTATAGGTTTTTTTTTTTCTGTGCTGACCTTACTCAGCATTTGTTTGAGTAAAGAGAAGCACATGGACATAATAATGGTCATTAGTGCTGCGAAAAGACAACAGACAGAAAAAACAGTGGGAAAGTAAACAAGTAGGACCTACCAGTGGTACCATCCAACCACCTGCTAATCAACACCCAGGCCATCCATGACCATGACGTTAATACAAGATGAAGAGGAGGAGGAAAAGTATCAATTCCAGCACAAAGAACAGGAATATTTTAAAAGATGCCTGCATCACATGGGAATGGATCGTACATCCTTTGAAACTGACTTACTATATAACACTTCAAATGTCTTAAGACATTTTGTTTTGGTTAAGTTTTAGATTTAAATGGACAGGAGAACTTGATTTTGCCTGTCTACGCAAAGAGGTGCACACTGATGCAATAACAGCCATTTAATACAGGGAAAAGTAAGACACATGGATAGAAATAACAGGGATAGACAAGAAGTAGGATCTACCAGAGGCACCCCTCAACACCATATCTGCAAGATTTGTTTTTGCAGGCGTTTCAAGGCACTTGCAACACAATTAGGTCATATAAATGCCGAAGATTAGGTGTTACAAGCAGGGTTGGGTTGATTAAAATTTTTAAAATTTAAATCAACTTAACTTGATTTTTAAAATTTATTTTTATTCAGTTTTTACATATTTCAACATTCAAAATTCCTTTCCTTTGTTTCATAAAACAGATATAAGGTTTAGTAGACTAGATCTCATATAACCATGCTTAAAAGTCTGCTTCCCCCCCCCCTTTCACTGTAAAATAATACAGCATTCAATTTACTTTTTTTTTTCTATAATTGAAATCAGAGCTGGGTTGATTTAAATCAGTTGATTTTTTAAATTTTAATCAACTTGATTTTAAAAATAAAAATCTGTGATTTAAATCACTTTTTAAAGAATGTATTCAGTTTTTACCTATTTAAACATTCAGAATTCCTTTTAAACAGATAAGGTTTAGTAGACATATAATCATGCTTAAAAGTCTGCTTCCTGTCACTGTAAAATAATACAGTATTCAATTTACTTTTTTTTTCATAATTGAAATCAGGGTTGGGTTGATTTACATCAGGTCAATTTAAATCAGTGAATTAAAATTTTTTTTTAATCAACTTGATTTTAAAAATAAAACTCAGTGATTTTTAAATCACTTTAAAAAAAATGTATTGTATTCACATCTTTAAACATTCAGAATTCCTTTCCTTGGTTTTATAAAACAGATATAAGGTTTAGTAGACTTAATATAATCATGCTTAAAAGTCTGCTTTCCCCCCTGTCACTATATAATAATACAGTATTCAATTTACTTTTTTTTCATAATTGAATTTAACATTTTCTTTTACTTTTCAGACAAACACGAGTGTGCACACCCACACACACACACCCACACACACTGTAATAAAATGCAAGTTTATCTATGCACAATTAACCCCCCCCCCCTCCTTTTAGACTGACATTTTCTTCATTTTTTGTCTGTAGCTATACATAATATAATTCACTGATATAGCAGATTAAGGCTTTCTTTTGTAGTTGCTTAAATTAATCATTAGTTAAAATAAAGACAATGCATTTTGCACTAAAAGAACATACTTTTAGCAACCGAAAATCCCAAACTGTGTCGACATTTTCATTAAAATTTTTTTTAAAAAATCTGATTTAAATTTAAAAAATCGATTTTTAAAATTTTTATTTATAAAATATAAAAAAATCAACCCTGGTTACAAGAGAAATAAAAAAAAAACAACCCAAAACAAAACAAAACAAAAAAAAAGGAGGAGAAAAGCACACCAGAGCACGAACTGAACCACCTGAAATATCTGTCTGCAAGAAGGTGGAGGAGTTGGAGGGAAGAAGTTAAAAAAAAAAAAAAAGGACGAAGAGAAGGAGTGGGGAAGAACAACAAACAAGACAAAAAAGCCTAGGATATTGTTAGTTTTGTTTACGTTTTTTTAAATGAAGAAGCAAGATGGAAGAGAAAAAGAAAGAAAAATGAGAAGAAGTTGAAGATGATGAAAATAAAAAAAAGGTTGCTTATTCTCAAACAACTGTGCCTTAAAACTACCACTGCAGAAAAGCACATCTGGCAGCGTTCAACCCTACCCTTTACATTTTATTACCTTTGTTATCTTGATTATTATCCAAAGCTACGTAATGAGCATTTGGATTCCATACATGTGTTTCTCATTAGCTGTGACAAACTAGCTCCAATCCACAATCCTATGGAGAGGTCAGCCAGCCCCCCCCCCCCCCCCCCCCCCCCGAACTTGTCATCAATCGTAGGCGTTTCAAGCTCCTCACAACCTGCCGTCTATCTTTTACATCTGTCGACTCCTTTATTTTCCTTTAAATTTCTCTTTCCTTTCAGCCAAACTCTCATATATATTGAGAAATCTTAGCTCAGTAGCCGTCTTTAGTGTGTTAACTATCCAGCAACCTAATCCTAGGCAATTTTGTCTTTACTATCAGTTAACTGTCACCACTTTATACTATACTTTATAAGATTAAAAACAGAACAGATAAAAGTAAAAGCTAGGTAAAGCAAAAAAAAGCATGTGTATAAGAAAATGCCTTAAAAACAATTCAAAGCATTACAGTGGCTCTGACACCATGTATGTGCATTAACACTGTCTATACTAAGCACTTTGGACTACAAAATATTAACTGAGCATGCTTGGGAAATATGGCAGGTAAAACACTTACAACAAGTACAATCTACCAGTTATGCCCTTATAACACTATCCACTCTCAGGATTGTAATGCAAACATTATCAAGGAACAAAAAAGATTACTGCAGTTGTCCTCAAGTTGTATTTTTTTTATAGCAAGTTACGCAAGTTTTAAAATAGCACACCGGAAAGAAACACAAGAAGCTGACAACATCCGACACTCACCACCCCAAACTACCTGAACCCAAAACAAAAATAAAAGGTATTTATCATTGAGATCAGCCATTCCAACTATTGTTCTCAAGAAAAACAGTATCCATATCTTGGGAATAATTTTAGTTTTAACATTTTTAGTGCCAAGCAAACAAACAAATATATATATATATATATATATATATATATATTCTTTTCCCCAGTGTTTTGTGGCCATTAATGTTGTTTCTCTTCGCTTGAACTCTGTTCTGTCTTATTCATCAATAAAGATTATATCAGTGTTATCTCGCTTTCTTGTATCAGTGTATGATAAACAACAGCAACATTAACCATCTCTCTTTATCATCGGGAGATGGTTGTTTCATTCTTTTCTTTTTAGCAAGTGTTTAGAGAACTTGGATTAGGAAAAAAAAATTCAACAAGTCTGTGTAAAAGCATTTTTCAACAAAGCATTCTAATCAGTGGTCCTGATCGGGAGCTTTGCTGAAAGATGTTTCCTTATCATATTTATTGGAACATCCATACCAATATCAATAAACAAACACAAATAACAACAACAACAACGAAGTATAGCTGAACTTACCCGGACTTTCCACCCTCCTGTAGTGATATGGGTTAATGCACACCTCCTTTTGCTTAGCACTGAACGGGTACTCGCATGACTCCAGTGGTTTGAGTTCATGATGGGACTGGAGGTCGGGCCATCGCCAAACACGACAGTAAATCACATGGGGCAAGCCTTTGCGATGAGACACTTGCAGGCGGCCATCCAGTGACCGCTGGATTGTAACACATTTTGTTTGCAGATCCTTGCAAGACAGGGCTTTCTCCAAATCTTCAAGGGCACCTTAACAATAGAAGCGAAAGGAATAGATAACTATTTAATTTAATCCTTTATTAAAGTAGAAAATTGAAGCACTTACAGTCATATATATATATCAACCCTTGTCAACTTTCGTAAAAAGCAAGTAGTGCACAAAATTCTACCAATACAAAGAGCAGAACTTTGTCTTCAAACATACACTCCTCAGATTTTAAAAAAAAGGACATCATTTATTTCATGCAACACAATATAAAATACCAGAACCAGTACATTATAAAAAGGAAAAATTTACGAATTATATATTTTAAAATGTCTTTTTAAAGGAAATTATAATGTGATTACTCAAACCATGAGAAAAATGTCATGAAAAAGAAGTGATCATTCACATGTTATCAAACCATACAAAAATCAAATCAAATAAAACATTTTTTTTCCTCCAGTACCTTTTTTCTTTTTCAACTTTTTCACCAACGAGTCAACTGCCTTCTCAGCCCATTTCTCCTCTTCATCTCCTTGCTTCCAACCTAAAAGTCTTTTCACAGCAGGGCTGGTAAATGTAAAGATGCTAGACAAGGGGGAAGTCATTGTACTCCTAAGTTCACCTGCAAAATTCGTTAGAAAGTTTAAATATAAAAGCCTCCCATGTTGGCTGTGAAAGTGAAATGAGTGCATGCAGTAGGCAGACAGTTGTCACTGTCGCACTTGACCAATCCAATATAATATGTGAGGCAGCGTGGTGAAATCAGGCACCCGTCAAAAAAAAAGTAAAGAAATTGGCATTTTTCGGCAGGTTTCAGATTTTAAAAATAGGAACTTAGGTTTTTTTCGGTTCAACAACCAGGGATGCCACTCAACTTTTTTGAAAATAGCTGAAAATCCATGTGTCACGGTCTCAATTTGACTTGGACGCCAGGGCAGGTTCGACTGTATATTGAAAGGATTTTATAACATTTTGAGTCTAATTCTATTTTCATTATTTTTACATGAAGCTGCAGCGAGCACCTAGCACACCTCTAAGATTGGCCCAAATAGGGATGACGTATTTCCGCCCTCTATTTTTGTCGTCTTCCGGGGCTTCCCTTGTTAGTAGACTAGATCTCACGGTGGCGGGCCCCATTTGCCGCTTAGCGCGCGAAGGGCTACGTCACTAGGTCTCATAGCTGACTGCTTGGACTGTGTGCGCACGATTGTGTGTTTTTGAGCGTGCATGTGTGTGCGCGCTTGTGTGTCTGTGTACAACTTTGAGGAGAAGGTAAATTTATGGAACGAGAATTGTTAAGATTGTTTGTAAAGGATAATACAAATTAATACAAAAAGACCAAAAACAAACCAAACTCGACGAGATCTAGTCAACAGTTACAGTACAGGCGATGGAAACCCAAGAGTCTTGGGGAAACCCCAGAAGACAACAAAAATAGATGAACTGATGCAGCGTCACCCTCCTGGGATAACCTCCAGAATAGGACTTCATCAACTGGATCACCTAGACTCCTAGACTAAAACCTTAAACGAGAGTCAAGACACTTTGTTTCTGTTACAACAGTAACAGCATTGAAAACAACAATGTCCTACAAACGAGGATTCTGATCCTGTTCACAACTAGATTTAGATCTAATTTAAGTAGCACTACACTGGCACCATACCTAGATCTTGTAAACCTAAGCCTTAACACGGACACACAGATTATTTTAGGGTAGCGTCAATTGCCACAAAGTGACGCGGTGGCAATTGACAAAAATTGACTTTTTTGTCAATGGGAGTGTATACATACAGACCCGGTAACCGGGAACAAAGTCACAAAGTATACAGACCCGGTAGGGGAACTCTTTTGTGATTTCGGAGAGTTTCAGCGCCCTCTTGGCTCAGGGTAGACCTAGGTTCTTCTAGATCTATGGTCTAGGTCTAGATCTAGGCAGACAGACATAAATCTTTCATCTAGTTTTGCGGCTAACCTAGATCTAAATGAAGATTGCGGATGTCGTTTCGATGAACGATGGTTTTTCCTCCGTTTTGGAATTGGAGGAATCACAATCCGAAGAAAAGATCTCTCTCTCTCTCTCTCTCACACACACACACACACAAAAGATTTCTACCGGTTCTGAGGTCTGAAACTTCCCGAAATCACAAAAGAGTTCCCCTACCGGGGCTGTATACTTAGTGACTTTGTTCCCGGGTCTGTATACACTTCGTTTGTCAATTGCCACCGAGTGAAGCGGTGTCAAGTCTGAAAACAACACTATCTTTAGCTTTAGCATTATACAAAATGTGTGTCCAATTGGTCAATTAGTTCTCAACTAATTTCATTGGACGAGCATCTAGTCTAGAGCTACAGATCTAGATGTAGATCTAGGCTAGCCTTAGCCTACATTTTGGTGTAGAACTAACACAGGCAATTCTAGAAGTAGGCCTAGAAGGTCACAAACGCACACAAACAAACAGAAATTCACATTATATCGGGGAACATAAATCGGGGGGTGGGGGTCAGGAAAAGACACACACACACACACACAGAGGCGAATGCACACCGAGCACTCGAGCACAATATAATCTAGATCTACCCACAAACGCAAAAAAACTCCAATTTACTCGGTGGCAATTGACAAAAAGTCAATTTTTGTCATTTGCCACCGCGTCACTCGGTGGCAATTGACACTACCTTATTTTAGTGACTTTACTTAGATTCTAAATATAGATCTAGTCTAGATCTAGATCTAAATTGTTAAACTTAAATACTCAATTTCAATGTTGAAGACTCTCATTTCCAGCCAGTAACTAACAAACCAAAATGACCCAACCCAAAGGCAAAGGCCAAACAAACAGTGTCCTAATTTCTCAACCCTCTAGATCTAGATCTAGACCTGACAGAAGCACACGTTTCCACCCATAATAAAGACCAGTGCATTATAATAATGGTGCCCCCCCCCAGATACTTCCCATTTCCCCTATGAATTTTCTACAGTGTTGTGTTTGTGGAGATTGAAATCAAGATCTAATCAAAGCTGAAAAAGGCGAGGCAACGGCGAGGGCAGCAAGTGGGTTATAAGTGGCGAGCGGTTTTCAGAGATGCTCGTGTTCACACAATCGTAACTCCTTCATCTACATTGATAACATAACCTAAGGCACGTCTGCAGAGCATGCAATAATCATAATACTAAGACTTTCCCACCAATAAACACATAAACACATTGCACCCCTGCTGGCCCCACAACTACACTACGAAAAGTGCTAAAAATAAAGTTTGGGTAAACTTTACCTGAAGATTCGAGACGTTAAAAACTTCAGGATTAGCGATCTTCTGTCACCGCATTAATGAAGTCTTCGATCTGACTGTATCACCTGTCCTTGTGGATTAAACCTATCATCATTGATAAAAGTGATTTTACAGAGAAACGAGAAATATTTCTTTGCTATTGTGAGTGGCGACAGTGAGACGGGAAGTAGCACTGTAAAAACTTTCCAACTTGAAATTACGACGCGAAAGGAAAACAAGTGCGCTTCCTGATTCTCAAAAATATTTACAAAAACAAATTTTAGGTAATATGATAACCCTTTCCTTATTTAATGACATCATTTCTGCATTATAATACAATTATTTGATTTGAGGAAATGAAAAAAAATTAAGTTTCCTTTTCGCGTTATTTACTTCCGCGTACTAATCCAGCTTTGACCTGTGTAAACCGTATCGTAGGGGCGCCCCTAGGGAGTGACGTCACCCTCCAGTGGCGACAGAAAGTCGGGGGAATTGACCCATCATTATGCGGGGGTGAAAGCATCGACAAGTGTTTTCATTTCAGTAATACCGTTTCATTCATGAAAAGGCCGTAAAACCGGCAGACGGGGAATTGTGGCCGCTGAGAAAGCATGTGGATTTTGTGGCCCGATTTGTCGATATTTTCTGAAGAGAACTAGCGTTTTTTATTAGCTTCTTTGAATCAAAATATGAGAATACCGATAGAGCCACGAGCAGCGCGGGCGAACATTTTATGCCTGCCGGCTACCCCCTGCCCACCCTATCGACTTTCTCTCTCTCTCTCTCTCCTACA